CTCTCTCTCTCTCTCTCTCTCTCTCTCTCTCTCATTATTACAAAACTTTAAGTGCATTATTATTAATATATACAATTTATAAATCTAATTCTATATGTAATTCATATACTATTCTACTAAAACGTGATTTATCTAAATATCATAAAATATAAATTTAATTTTATTCACAACTAAATATATAAAATAAAAATAAGTTATCATTAATGACACAATTGTTTTGCATATTTATCAAACGTAAATTATAATAAAATCTAAATAAACATTGTTGTTTATATTAACAGTTAAATAAGTATTTCCAATTGTATTCTGTGTATATTTCATTAATTAAATGTCTTGTTTTAAAGGGTATAGTTTCTACAATTATTTGCATCAATTACCAATTGTTACATTAAAATAAATAACACCATATTTAATAATTAATACTTGAGTATTTTACTTACAAATAATAATAGTACTTGCTTAATAATAGTACTTACTTAATACTTGCAAATAATTATAGTATATATCAATCAAACGCAGAATATTCTTAATATTTTACTTAAACAAAATTTTACAACTAACACATTATCGACAAATACAATATATATTTTTATTTAAACATAGTTAAATATAATGATTTTCTATATGCACTCAAAATGCCCAGTGCCATTGATTTATTTATCATAGTAATTATTTAGTATGATATTTGTTTCTTTGCGAAACATTGATTTAGCAATTATTGTTAGCCATTATTAGAAATCATTTTTACATTTATTTAACACAAAAATATAACCATATAAATGACTTATACGAATACAAATACAGTCTAGTTTATTTATTGATTTATTAATTTAGCAATATAAATATTAATTGAGCTTGTTTATAGCTTTGTACATCAGTTGATTGTTTTATACTAACTGGTAAACAGCTTAATAATAACTTATAAACATTAAAATAAATTACTAAACTAATTTTATATTTGCTATATCAGTATAATGAATATACACTGTAAATTTATTACGTTAATTAATGTTTGACTGTGGTTTGTACTTATTGTTTTTATTAACTTCAAACACATTAATCTAATATTTATTACAGTAACCCATAATAATATAGTAATGAAATGCAAAGTATCGTTACTTTCCCGTGTTTTATGTCATTTATAGACATTTAATAGCAAAACTGTAAATGTTTTTACTGTAAATGTCAGACAAATATTAAATGTTAAGATTAAATATTTTTTATATAAATATAAGTTTTACTTTTACATTTAAAAACAATTATTTAATAATGAAGTTATCAATAATAAGTTATATGTGGTGTGTATTTTGTACAACAAATAGTGTACTAATAATCGGTGTTAACTTTTGGTCACAATTGGGACACTGTATTGAATATTTTTACATTGATGAAAACTTTTATCAAACTCTAAGCTATATCTGCGCCGATAATCAACGGACAAAACTATTAACATATTCCGCACAGAATTCGCAGAATATTCTGCAATATTTACATAATAATCGGTGTTTTGTTGAAATTTATTACTTAAACACGACTGATATAAGCGATGAATATCTCATTAAAGCACATGTGGTAAACAGCAAACATTATAATTTGTTTCTAATTGTTGACAATATTGACCAAATTCGGGCTATTAGTGAACTAATATTTACTGAACTGACCTCGATGTATAATAATATAGTGATTATACTATTTGAGTGCACTGATAATATCTACAAAGATTTTGTTGGCCAACTCTATAATAATATACCGGGGTTTCGGTCATACGTGATATGTGTGCCAAATAGTGGTGATTTAACGTCCGTCACAACAGCTTATATTAGGCCTGTTGTGGACGGCTGTCGAGTATATGAGGGTATAATTTATCCATCACGGGATTTATGGGCAAAAGCGGCGCTAACATCACATAAATGTAATTTAAATGGTACTAACCTAACAGTATCTGTAAATAAGGTTAATTGATTTTAAATTATACTCTTAACTTATAATTAATTTACATTGTACACTATTTATTTAAAGTTATTTGTTAATAAATAAATTTACTAAAATTAGTAAAACACCTTTAACAATTATTTTTGTAAAATAGGAATTACCATATTGCGATTTTGATTATAACGATGACAAAGGTTACACGGCCAAGGACTCAGTCGAACTGTTTATGCTAGGTGCTTTGGCAGAAAAGTTTAATTTTAACTACAATTTCATTTACGCAAATCAAAGCTGGGGCACTTTTGAGGGTGGTGTTTGGCGGGGGAGTGTCGGCCATCTCTATAATAAAGTATTTTATTAATTATATAAACCATAATTATTACCATGATTATTTTAATTTTACATCTAGACAGCGGATATAGCGATGTGTGACCTAACGTATAGTAGGAAGCGCTCGGAAGCGGCCGACTTTACCACCGCATACATACTCGTGCCCTTGACTTTTGTCACCAGACGACCAGGGTTAAAATCGCGCCAATGGATCACCATAACGCCTTTTGACGAGTGGGTGTGGGTGTCCATGTTCATATCATTTGTGGCTATTTCTCTAACCATACACCTATTGTACAAGAGATATGTCTGGCATTTGGTCGACACTAAGCCAAAACGGGTTGATTACATATCAATCTCACTGATTGCTGCGCTTTTACAACAGTGTATGTATTTTTGCCTAATTGCAAATATATTTACAATTAATTTATGATCACAATAAACAAGTGTAACCAAGTGTGCATGTTATATTGTTTTAATAGCCGACATTAAAGTACCATCATCAAATTGGTTGATCAGGCTATTTTTCTCGATGTGGTTTCTGTCATCTCTGGTCTTAATGAAGACATATTCGGCTATATTTTATTCATTATTAACTGTTCCCGAATACATGGACCCGATTGAGACACTGGACGACTTGGTCGGGGCGGCCGAGAGTGGTAAATACGGTATCATCACTCTGTCTAACTCAGCCTATTATGACACATTTGCGTTGGCCGAGTGTTGCGGCGCATATCATACCATCGGCGAAGCCATTAAGACCACTGAACAGGCCATTAAAGCACCCGACACTACCGCTCAGGGCATTCAACTTATCATAGATCGAAGCGATGATAGGTATAATTTGAGAAACCCACATTTTATATTATTTATTATTTTAAATCATGATCATATTGTACTAACTGGTTACATGGGCACAGGTATGGTATTATATTTATCAATACGCATATATCGCTGGCACACGGGGTCCGGAGCGGAGCTACTGTTGATATGCATATATCTGCCGAGACTCTGATGATGGACCACATGGGTATGGCGTTGCAAAAGGGGTCACCGCTGTTGAACCATATGAACAACGTGTGAGTGACATGTTTACAACATTGTGATCACTTAATTTTAAGACATTCTTATAGTTTAAATAATATCTTATTCTACAATTATTTTTAATGTATAGAATTGAGATTTTTGTTGAAAGCGGTTTATATTGGTGTTGGTGGAAACGGACCACTCGTTCCCAGAAAATAATCTACCACATGGATGACCAGCCCCTGCCCAGTGAATCCATTAAAACCCTGCTTTTAATTGATTTGAAAAGTATATTCTACATATGTATCGCTGGACTCATGGCATCCATACTTGTGTTTTGTATTGAATACCTAGTTTTGGCTCATTTCCGGCTTAACACTATTTGTTGTAGAATTAGAAAATAAAATTATAAAATAATAAGATTTTTACTATTTAGCATAATATTTTAATATTATTAAGTTGATTTTATTTTTAAAAATAAAAATAACAGTACATATGATTAGTATTCTAGAACATTTTATGATAGTGCAGATATATAATTTATTTTAAAATTATTTTTGATATCAAATAAAATATACAAATACTGTATACATTGTGTAATGTTAAATAATTAATGTATACTGTAATTTTAAGGTCGATTATATTGAGCGAAGAAAAATTTGTTGTCATGGTCGATAGTGCATGTTGTTAGGATAATAATATGACATGATTATGGTTATAATCAATATATTTAACAATGAAGTTGGTATTTAATAAAGTATATTTACTAATAAATGCTATAAATTTATAATAGATTATAAAATAAGTAAACAAATTTATAATGTGAAATTATTGTTGTTGGGAATCTAATTTAAACGTACTTTAAATCACCTCAAAAATATTGATTAAGCTTATTTTAGATAATTTTTACAGTTATTTCATTGAACATTGAACATTAAATAATTAATTAAAAGGGAAATATGTAAATACTTATTAGTCTAATATGTATTTATATGAGGTATAAAATGTCGTTTAAAGTGCTTTAATAGTGTAATTCGTTTATCCCCAGAATCCTATGCATATAGACTTAAAAAAACATTTATTTAAATAAAAATTTAAGTCACTAGTTATACTAGTTTGTAACCAAAGTAATTATTAAATAGATAGTTTTAATAAAATTGTATTTGATATAAACCCATTTACATTTACAATAATGATGTCTACATTCCACTACAATGTTAAAGCACCTGGATCCATCATTTGTCATCTAGTTATTTTGACAACACACATGATTCACATAAATAAATTTAGAAATCATAAACCCCAATTTGTCAACCAGTATAATTTACAATTTGATTTGTGAGCGATTTATTTATTTATACTTAATTTGTAATTATCATGGCAAAAATATAATAATAATAATTGATTTTTAATATAATAATTATATCAACCACAATTTAGCATGATTATTTAAGTAAGCAATATATATATGGTGTTTAGTGTACATCACAAGTGTTTTTAACAAAACAATTTGTTAATATTACAGTTAAATATGTATTAATAATTTATTTAATAATTATTTATAAATCATTCACGCTTTGCATAAGTGCTGTAAAAATTTTAAAACTATAATTATGTTGAAATTTGTGATTTGCATCGTGGTCTTATTGTCAATGATCAATTGTAATAGAGGAGCTCAATTACCTAACAGCGGTACGATCATGCTATACATTTAAAACTTTACAATATTATTATACAATTAGAATTAATTTTAACTAATTTCTAAATGAGCTAGCTCAATGATATTTGATTAAATAATGATTTAATTGTTACAGCTTCTGCTCCAAAACCTGGCGACACTACCACCTCTACAACACCCAAATCTGCAATAATCACTACAACACCCCTAACGACGACCACGACTGAGTCCAGTGATGGGGCAAATATGGGGACCGTTAATCCAGTTATAATTTTGCTAGTTGCATTTGTGACCAATATTATTATAATCAATTTGTTGTAAAATACTTACCAAATGCATGTTTTATTATTATTTAATTAACACTTGATTTCTATTGTGTATTCTTTGTGCTATTTTATATATACTGTACACTATAAGCAATATGTATAAACTATAGCTTATTGTGTACTTTAAAATACCTTTATATAAATAAGGATAATTATTTAAAATGTAATATTACTTATATATTATGGTAGAAGTTTGAATAGGTTAACATGTGTAACAAATATTTAATTAAACTTGGTGTATTTATCAAATCTGATATTTGTAGAATTTAAATAAAAAAACCAAATATATTTTAAAAAATTTACATTGTATCTTATTCAATAATTATTATAATGCTCTCAATGAACAAATCAAGGTAAAACATATGAACAAATACAATGTTCAGGTATTTTATGACAATCAATTAATCATGTTCTCTTAAACTAAAGTGATTTTATTATTACAGTTATAGCTATTTCATTGAAAATTTAATGTAAATAGTTATACAATATATTTAATCATATTAATTTAATAGCCAATTAAATATAATAATTAAATTATACATAGTAAATTAAATTAATTTACTAACCCTATGGCGTATGAGATATTTAAATCAATTGTTTACTGTATTTAGTGATTGACTGTAAATATAACAAGTGTTTTGTTAAACAATTTTTACAACATTTTATTACAAACACTATTTTATACAATACTTTTCATACAAAGTATTGCAGCGAAAAAATAATAAAACAATTTAATAATTAAAATTTTAACAAAAATTTTAGTAAAAATGTCAAAATATTTAATAATAATAATTAAAACATTTATAATGCTGTCAATCATAAGTGATGGTAGCAGTGATCACGTGTATAGGGAGTGCGGACAGGCGTACCAGTGCTACGGTATGCCATCTAAATGTACGCAACGCTCAAACTGTACCGTATTATTGCGAGTACGGCCGCCGTCGGGCACCGGGTGGTCGGCATCGGTGGCCAGTTTTGAGCTCAATTGGTATCGAAACGCAGACACGAGTACCGGTCAGTACGTGGCCGTCGGTCTGTCCACCGATGACATGATGGGCGACGACTCGGTCACTGAATGCATACTCGGCTCCGACGGCATCGCTATTGAACGCCAGGGCCTGACATTTGGACAAAAACCCAAAACGTTTGGCGTCCGTACCGTACATATGGACGGCATATCCGATGTGAAGACCCGCCACTCAAACGGTGTGCTCACCTGTAGCTGGACTCGAGCCCTACAGACCCGGGTTAATAATATGACGTTTGATTTGGTTAAAAATCAGTATTATGTTATGCTGGCTACCGGGCCAATGGATAATGATGGTAATTTTTCACTACTGTGATTATTATTTGAGTTATTTACATTATTTGTGTAATAATCTAGGTGAGCTCAAGCATCACAAACACGACTGGGTGTCTAACCGGGCGTACAATTTGAGTTCAACGGATAGGTCCCGGCGTTCATCGCGTATGACGTCCGGCGGCCAAACGTCCGGTGCGACTAATATCGGCGGTTCAATCGGTCGGACGTATAATACAATTGTTATTGCAATGACTTCTGTGGGAGATTTAGTATTGTATAAATTATGTAAAGCTGTTATCAATTTGTTTGTGTAGTTAATTATTAGTTAATTATAAATACAGTACACTATAAATATATTATAGATGACAATGAACATTATAAACTATGAACATTACAAAATTAAGTTATTCTCAATGGTTAAACAATTATATTATTAATTTATATATAATACAGATTAGTAAATTTACAACCTTATTCACAGCAAATTAATTTGATACGTTTACAATTTACTTCAACTGTAATAACAATAATACTAAAGCCATAAACAAAATGTAAAACAATTAAAAAACTAAACAAGTTATTAATTTCTATGTCTTTGTAATCGCTTTGTGTAACGAATTTTATATCAAATAATTCATTGCTTTTCCGAAACCAATGGTTTAATTCTTTGGCCACAATTCCAATAGAAAAATAATGAGAAACTCTATTGAAAAATATATGATTTATATTATTATACAGTATAATCAACTAGTTAAGTTACCTTATGTTAACACTATCTCTAAACTGGTTAGATAATAGGTTCCTGTTTAACGCCAGACATATAAAAATTGGCGGTCCGTATCTTTCCTCCATAAATCGGAGTTTAATATCATTTCTCATTAACTTTTTGTACGGATAAGCGATTGTCAACTGTTTTAGTGGTACTTCACAAAAGAATATAGCACTTTTACCCTCATATACCTCATCCATGTATTTACTTGTCTTAAAAATATCGCTCAATATAACTCGTTTAGTCATTTCTTTGCTAATAATAGTATTAATTAGCTGTTTGTCTAAAATACCATTCATGGCATCAAAATGAAATGTTTTAATAAGTTTTACGTCCGAATCGACCAATTCTTGTAGTGTTTGGATCTGTTTGTTGGGAATCTTTAACTGATATTTAGCTGTGATTTCACTCGACATTAATAATGATATGAATAAAGCACTCAATAACCACGATATTATTAAAATAAGTGTTGTATAATTTGCATTAAAGATACGAGTAATTTGGATGTCTAAATTAAATTATAATTTAGTTAGAGTAATTTTACCCACATACTTTCTTAAAGTTTACCTTGTCCAATAACAGATGATACCAGTTTGAACATGATCATTTTAAAGGTAAATAGTTTAGAATGTAATTTACACTTTAAAATATGTTTCCGATAAATAGTCATAAATAATGAAACTATTGTTAACATAAGGAAAAATATAAACAAACATTGCATATCAAAAAGTCTGTACAGCCAGTGATTGATAGAGTGACCAGTATTTTCCCACCGCAACAGTACGACCTGCTCTTCCCGATTAAACGTGTCAGTCATATCTGTGGCAGTGAAGACATTGTAATTGTACGATAAGGGTGATCCGGTAATATGTGCCTGTTACATTATAAAAAAAATTAATATAAAATAAATTTAAGCTTACATTTATGTGTTTAGTATGCGTTAAAATAAATTAAATTTATTACATCTCGCTGTATACGTCCAATCATACCATTCCAGGTGCCATTTGCTGATGGATTGCCCACGCCTGTAGGTTCCATAATTAATTCATACGTGAAATTTAATGAGCTTGCTATATATTTAATTAGCTCGCACTGTATGCCATAGCAATTTTGATCATTTTCATTAAACGTAATCCATGGTAGTCTCGGATCGGCTATTATTTTTAAATGCATTGCTATTGTGACTGATTATGTGTAATAGTTAACCAACGTTACCATCATTCAAAACAACTTTAATTTATTAATATCTTCGACATTTCTAATAATTTTATACATTAATGATAACATTTCTACAGTAATAATTATTTATTTTGCAAAATGTAAACATGTTTTATTATTTGATCAATATTTAATTATCAATATTAATGAAATACTCTTTATGTATTACATCCATTTGTAATGCATAACTATATTTTGCATTTATTAAATTCTAGTCTAATTGTCATAGCTATCATAGAAGTGTCTACATTAATCTAGAAATATCTACATACAGTGCAAATAAATGCAATAATAATACTAAAGCCTATTAATTGATCGATAATCTTTATGTATTATATTGTACTTTATTTACATTTTCATCATATATTAATATTAAAGAGCCTTTGTTAATTTTTAATCACGTTAATTAAATAAAGTACATTTACTAAACATAAATATTCTCATTATGTATATTTGAGATAGATGTTATACTAAATATAATAACACTAGTAGTTCTGAGTATATTATTTATTAAATAAAATTATTACACTATCAAATTGATTTAAAGTCTGTTTCATATTTAGGGAGACTGTATTAACAATTATAAAACTAATTAAAACTCAACTATTTGAGGTTGTATTTAAAATGTCTAAAATGTACTAGATACAACTAAATAAGACCTTTAAATTGATATATCACAACACTAATAATTTGCACCACAATAATTATTTTTAGTGACCCGAAATTTCAAAATTAAATTCCCGGTCTTAGCCCCAATCACACTCGGTTGGTCATTACACCGATACCATTAAAAAATATCTCACTTAACCAGATTAACTTATCAATAAACGTTAACAAATTTACGAAGTTACAGCACTAACAAAATTTGTTATCATGGTCAAAAATAAATTCTAACATAAAAAGTCGGTAAATTTCCGAAAAAAATTAGCTAAGTGAGGGCAATCAAAACCATTAAAACCAGTTAAATTTACATTCATATTGTCAAATAAAACTATTAAAATGATACAAGAATAAATCTATAGATTAATTGAACACTTTAAACGGGAATTCTCAAGAATTGCGGTAAAACTCCGTAGAGTGATAATATACGGGTTAATTATAGAAACTTTATAAATTTATTGCGGATAACTGGATTACTATATTGACATAAAAATTTACAAAACTAATATAAAACTATTGTTAATGTTTATAAGAATAATAGTTTTGTTAAACAAACATGTTGAATAATGCATTGATTTGTGCATTTTAAATACAAAACAAATTAAAAATAATAGTTTAAAATGTTTGCATTACGAATAAAATATTCTTTGTGAAATTTGTACAATTTGATTAAAATTTATTTCATTTCTCAGATATTTGTGTAATTTGTTTAATAAATATATAAAATAAATAGAATGAATATGACCTACAAGTTGTTGCCTTTTGGAATTCAAGTAACCATATTCGATTTAAAAGTTACTGCATTTAAATATGTAGAAAAGTGTGCATAAATTTATTTAGAGCAAATAAATATTCTAGTTTTAAAAATAATAAATTCACAAATAATAATTATAATACTGCAACCATAAACGAAAATTAAAACAATTAAAAAACTAAACAAATTATTTAATTCGATTGCTTTGAAGTCGCTGTCAGTTTTGACATTTAAATCAAACAATTCATCGCTTTTCGCAAAATATTGTTTTATTTT